CTGATGATTAAGAAACTTACCTTAAAACTTCTGAGCTGGAACCTCTATCTTTGAATCAATAATCCTCAGTGATCCTAAACAGTGTAAATCTATCCTGAGAAAATTTCTGTTCAAAAAATAATATAATGTAATTCTGAGCAGATTTTCAATCCTCAATACTGTGACCCTGGGATGATTTCAGATCCCTCCAATCTGTGCCATTAGTAGATATCCAAGGTAGTGTGCTCTGAAGTGCTTGGTTCCATATGGACTTGTGTTTCTCAGGCTACCTGTAAAACATAAAGGTAGAACATGATTGATGGAGTAAGGTTACCAAGGCAACCACATCTTCCATGGAGACTGGGATGTCAGACAAAGCAATGTGAACTGGCAGACATCAGGATTCAATCGATTTATTTTTGATTTTGACTCTTATCTAGCATGTAATTTTGTATAATGATTATTCAAAGAGTGCAATGCTAACATTGGCTTTAATAAATAAATCATTAACATCTGACTGATCTTGTTAGAAACTTAACACATACATAAAGTTGTAGAGTTAATAGTAAAGTAAATTAAGGATTGATTCAATATGTTTTTTCAAAGAAAAAGGGAGTGTCATCCATAATGTATTGATGTGGGAAGCAGGGCGTGCTCTTACTTCACTGAAAATTGTAAAGGATAAAATGTCAATAAATTGTACAAATAAAATTATGGATGTACATGTACAAAATCCTGATGAGTAAATAAATGCCATGTGTATCATTTAGAGAACCCATTCTTAGGGTATTTCACTCTATTTCATCGCTAATGTAGATTACACCCCAACGTACTTGACAAAGATACAACATCTTTATATTTTATAGACATATAACATCGAAAAGACAAGGTACTAAAGTGGCTCATCTACGTGGAAAGGCTTCTAATATTCATTCATGTTAAGTTGGCAAAAACATCTCAAGTGAGTAAGATGATATTCTCTCATCTTCATTCACTCGGCTCCCGTCATTGAAGAGAAGACCGAGCGTGCGAAGATGATATTCTCTGCTGAATCAAAATAACAATTTACGTTAAAGGCTGGTGAATGTTAACATGCATGAACATACTAACCATGAATGGAAAATGGACATGGCTGAATCATTGATCGTATTAGAAAAAACTTAATGCAGTGTCAGTTTGACACATTTTAATCTAAATCCCAGATGGATATAGACAAATTTATAATATCCACATAATCACATTGGGATGTATAATGGTCATCTCGCCTGCCTTTGCATTTATTTGTATCCACAAATCCCATGAGAAATTGAAATGGAGATGGCTCTATGCACCTCTTAAGGAATCATATTGAAAGACAATTGCTACAGCAATCAGATATAATAGAGACTGATAGTCGACTTGATTCACTTCAGAATGTATGAATAATTATATTTGTGATAATAAGTTTAATATCTCGTCTCAAGCAGAATTTTTATTATAGAGAAGAGTATTCAAGAACCTATTGTTTGCCATGTAAGGAAATATTCAGAACTTTAATACAAAATGTGGTTAAAAGAAAAGTTATTGATCAATCATGAAAAACTGATATTGTGTTGTCCCTAACAATATAACATACTCATTTCTATAGTAAATGTATAGCCCCAAGAAAACATGACCAATTATACTATTGACCCATGGATGAAGAAACCAACGCTAAAAACATACTCACCAGAAAATAAAATTCAATACAACTGTGGCAACTGTGTTTAACTAAACTAAACTACTGTATTTGAAAACTTGAACTATAAACATTTGATATATCTGCTTTTCGGGTCGCACAGGCCTTATATGTTTGTTCTTCTGATATTAACAAACAACAAACAATGTATGAATGAATCACTACCTTAAGCAATGAAAAACTTTTTTTAATCAGGTGTTTTACAGTTTTACAACTTTATGATGCAGCATGTATATAGCCATATGGCACAAGTACTTCCTTAGTATTAGTATTAGGAGTAAAATCCTGTACATTGAACTTATCTAAGAGACTAAGACACATGTTTTATCTCTTTTGGGACAGTAAGTTTTTATCATATATGAAAAGACATGGTGACATTTCAAAGACATGGCCTGTAATACTAGTGATAGTATTCAAGAGCTGTACATATCTATTTGAAGTTTCATGGCAGGCCTAATTTAAGTTTCTCATGCTAGGGACAATTTTTTTAGTGGTGTAGCAAATAGTTTGGACATCGTGGTATTGACAATGACACAAGGAGAACATTGAATAATAATATGGTCAACTTCGGCATCAATAATGGCTGACATTTAAAAGTCAGTTTTAAGCTGCATTAAGTTTTAAGCTGCATTAAACAATATGGCCAGATATACATAAGTGTTAGCTCAAGCATTTTAAAATTATATGATTGGAAAAGTGATTTCAGACAAATTTCTTCCATCCATTTTAAAAAACTTCTGGTTGAACTTTTCAAACCATTTCTAGCTCAGGTTTTCTCCACAACTTGGACCACTTCTATTTTTACTGCTTCTTTTACAGTTCTATACATGCTGATCAACTACAGTGCAATGTACTATCATGTACTACACTGAAAGACAAACAACTGTTTGACTTCCTCTTTAATTCCTAATTAACAAGATACAGTAAAACCTATCAAGTAGAATACAGTAGAACCTGTATAAGTGGCCCTCAGGACCACAAAAAGTGCGAGGTGTTCCACTTACAGGGAACTTCATCAACATGGAGTCAATGGGCCACAAGTTCCAATTGTAAGGTGTTCTACTTACAGGTGTTCAACTTAAAGCTCTTTCTACTATACATCCATAAATGATACACTTGTTGAGGTACCAAAGGCATTCTACTTATACAGCCAGGTTTTACTGTTCTTTGAGTTGAAAATATTTTTTTACCAGATTTACAAATCAACTTCCAATAATTCAGTACTCAGCAGAATGTTGTCAGCAGTTAGTACCAATTTACCAGCTCCAAATTACTGGTGTACTTGTTCCCCCTACTTGGTCAGTTTATGACTGAAAAATAATGAACGAGTCCTTTTGGATGAGGAGATAGTCGTTCCAAGCTTCTTTCCCCGCAACTCAACTATTGATCTGTCATAAACTTCTATGTGACATGCATCGCCTGATTAGCACATAAATCAAGTATAAATGAGACCCAAAGATCATTATGCTATATAACAAGAATTGCTGAACAAAATACAGTTAATAGTTAGATGAATGATAATTTCAGATAATGTATTCACTGATCTAACACCCAGGATTTTTTCAAGAGGGTGCTAAATCCTAATTTTACTAGATTTTGGTCTTAATATCTCTATTTTTCATCCTTTGACAGATTTTCTACAATACGGTACCATGTTATTTTCAGATTTTAACAAGGTATCATAATTAAAACCATGACATCTCATTTCTTCTCTCATGTGAAACAGAAAGATGTGATGAGTATCAGAATGACAAGGTACTAGTGCAGCACTGGGGAAATCACTGATATTTATTACATGATTGGGAATTGTTACAATATTCCCAAACATAATATAGAAAGAATATTGCGGGAACAACATAACCAGCAAACCAGGAAGAATATTGATAAAATCAAACTCATGGGTTGTATGCTACAAAGAAATGCAGACATATATCTGCCATAAAATCAATTATTGTAACATGAGACAATAGACATGGGAGGCAGAGAGAAATGTCATAATGTTACAATCTAATAATCAACCAAGTAAAAATATCAATTTACTGCCATTGTGAGTAGTTAAACCTAATAATTATAATTGTGTAGTGCTAGTACTGTAATTTGTATTTCAACAGTAATTTTGAAACAATAAAAGAACAATAATTGGTAACATCTGTAATATTTCTGCAGACTCGACTCTCTAAGCTTAAATGGATGGAATATACATGTATATGGGTCTTATAAGCTTAAAAAAAATATGGTACAAGTGTACCAACTTGGCATATTCTAAGTTTATGCAATAATCTGTCTGGTTTCTGAAAGGGACAAAGAGAACATCTTGCAAAACCATCAACGTTTAATATAAAATACATAACCGCCAGTATTAACAGTAGACACTAGCAAATAAAATGGCTGAAATATAAGTAAAATGGCTGATTTGCTAAAAATGAATAATTAAACAAAATTATGTCAGGTGGTTTGATAGAGATTCTTGAAATAGTGAAACAGTTCCCTGCGTGCAGAGTTGTAAACTACCCTCTACCGACCTATGCCCATGACTGCAGCCCAGGTCATAAATCATTTCAAACCTACCAAGCTGATCATTTCTCAACCAATCAGTGAGCTTGAACACATGCTAAATGCGTGCTCATAACTATGTGATGATGTCAGAGGAAATTACTACATATAGAAAGTCGCCTGTATTTCTATGAGAATGGCTCAGTTCAGAGATTATTGTAAACTGAAAGAGTGAAGACGAAATTCTCTTTTAAGAAGCAAAGTCGAATGACCAATACAAAGGGTATGAAACAGGCACAAGCAGAAAACTTGGATTTTGTTATTGCGAGAATGAAAATCTGACAGGCTGGCAAAATGTCACTTGAAAATCCTGAAAACTTTTCAACTTGTTCAGAGATATACTTGATCTAAATTGAATTCCATGACTACCGCACCGTAACTGTCAAAACTGAATTATCAGAAAGTCCTTATCCATTTACAGTAGATCAACATGGGTAAGAAGCACTCATTGTAGAATATAGAATGAAACATCTTTGCCCTAGGCTCTAGCCTAGAGAAAATAAACTCCAAAGAAATCTCAGTTCAGATTCTCAATATTTGAACGCTCATAATGATTAAAATCATGAAAATCCAAACTGTTTCAGCTCTATGTATATAATCAATGCACTTACCCGTCACTTGCGATAATGGAATAGGCGAATAAACACGTACGTTTGTGGTAAATAGCCAATTACTGAAAGAAATATTTGTCACTTTTCTGTTGTTTCTCTCAGCAAGAAATGCCCACAATGCACCGGTTTAATTTGATCCAAGCTACTTCCGGTACGAAATTTGAAAATATTTTTCTCTAATTCTTCTTCTTTTGGCGAGCTTTCCGTGTGAAAGGAGTTATTCCACTTGATGTTAAGATTTTAGTAAGTATGTTTTCACATTGACGTGGAACATTGGAAGGATGAAATGCGTTGATCATCGATTCTATTGATGATTTGGAAAAGAAAAATTTCGTCTGCACTGCAGCAGACTGCATTCATACATGTCTCTTATCGGAAATACATCTCGACTTGCATTCTATCTGTTTCTTATACCTGGCACAACCGTCACCATGTTATTCAGTGTTTTTAAGTTTCGCAAGGATCCTGCCATGACCGTGCCGTGGTAGTGTTATCGTGATATCCTGATATGACCGTGACAATTCTATATTATTGCTCTTGTCTAATGAACCACATCGGAGAATTAAGAATTGTTCCTTGCTCCATCCATCATGAGTGAACAGTCCGATCTAAAGGATGTCAAAGTTACAAATTCAAATGCCACCATTTTGAATATTTTCCCGCTTCAGATTTTGAATCACCAGATTTGGTCTTATCCAGTGACAAAAAAATTCAAAACACATAAGAGGTGATCGGGATATTAGTATAACCTTTCGATAGTGCTAATTATGAATTATGATTCAAGATGCTTAACATGGAGATGTATGGAGAACTTCCCATTATCCATGACTGTACCCTATATAGGTACTTGCCTCATTGACAAAAACATTTGCCTCATTTACAAAAAAAAATGTCTCTCTTCATTCCCCCACGTGAATTCCTAGATGTGTGTTTCCCTCGTTGATAAAAAGTTTGCCTCACTACTCCCTCCCTTTAGGAATCCTAGCTTCAGCAGTAATTTCTACTAACATGGGCTTTCTCTTGGGTGTATTGGTTTTCAAATTTTGCATGTCTACTTTTTCAATTGAAACAAATCTAAACTTTGACTTATAAGATTCTAATCCATTCCTTTGTGTCATCTGATAGAGGTATAAATGGCTTTTTGGAAATTTGTTTGGTAACCTCCAGAATAAGAATAAAGTTCTTCATGCATCCTTAGTAATCCAATGGGCTTTCAAGAGAACCGTGGTATAAGTTATACAATTTTTTTTTCAGATGAGAATAAATACCTTTCAGTGTCGTTATTTCATCAAAGTGATATATATCAATCTGAAGCAACCCTGAAGAATGATGTGTATGTTCACCAACAAAAGAACTCCATAAATACTAAAGCTGATAATGATTTAAACATGACTGAACTAAAAGGATCTTCAGGGCAACAAAAGACAAACAATGATTGTGATTTATCCGTCCATATCTCATCTCCAGTCATTGAAGAGGAACACACAATTAGCCAATATTCTTTAGATAACACTGAACCTATGGAAGACACAGAACCTTATGATAACATACCCATAGCTTCGAGTGATAAACCAAAGTTACAGCGGGTTGATGCAGTATTGTTAAGTAATCTAAGATCAGCTGACAATGAAGCAACCTTTGCTATAGTATTCGATATGCTCAGTGCTCATTCTGTACCAGATGTTACAGGTACAACTGTCTGTACTGAATCATGTGATATAGTGAATGGTATAATTGATAGTGTATTGGAAGCCATTACAACAGGTAAGAGCTGTATGGTTGATATAGAAGAGAACACAAAACCTACCAACAAATGTTTTGACATGGTTGCCATAAGCAATACAGCAGATGAAGCTGAACAAAAATTTCCAATGAACAAAATGAAAAATGTCATGGCTGAAGGATCAGAAGCCATATGTGAAAGGAGGGATGTTATATGTGATAGTGTCATTGATGAAAGGTCAAAAGTCACAATTTCAGCTGAAATAATCCAAACTAAAGATGATATATCAACAGAAGAAGTTGTCAAATCACCAGAAGTTGAAATGTATGATGATGTAAATGAGATTCTAGATTCAAATAAATCAACAGCAATGTTCGAAGACATCTTTGATGGAGTGAAAAATGTCTTAACAAATATGGTGAAGAAAATAGATGAAACGTCTTTGATAACAATGACAAATAAAATTGAGAAATCTTCACAGCAAAGCAGTCATACATTGGGTTCTCTTGAAAGTGATGGTAAGATTGAAAGTGATGATCAGCTTGAAAGTGATGATAAGATTGGAAGTGATAATAAAATGGCTGATTCAGAAAAAGTGCAAGTGAATGAAGATATTTCTGTCAAAGTGGAACACGTTGAAAACATTTCTACTCACGACAGGACAAAATATTCCTCAGCAGCTATCGACTTCTTTAAAATGGCTGATATGAGTCTAGCACACCAGCCCTTAGGAATACCACATGATCAATTTGAAGACAAAATTGAACAACAAATACAAGAAGATATGAGTGAGCCTAATCAAGAGGAAGAAGATATTAGAGAAGGCAATGAAGAGTGTCATCAACTTAATGCAGTTCAAACTGCCTCAAAATTCCTAGAGGATATAACAGATGAAGTTGCCAACACTGTTCAGCATAATAGAGATGAACTCCTTCCCAAACCAGCCAAAGCTGTAGTTCAGTCAATCCAGTTAGAACTTACTCAAGTTAAAATTGTTTCACAACCAGATTGTTATCAGAATGAGATTCAGGTTCAAGAGCCATCACTTGGTGAAAATGACTCTGATAAAGTTGTTTTGTTTTTAGAAAATGTGATCAACAGAGTAGGAGATGTGATGTATGAGAAAACAATGAACAACCAAAGAAAAGTCAAACTAAATGAAGATGACAAAATTGAATCTGTAGCAAATGTTGAATATGAAGTTGAAAACATGATTATAACTGAGAAGGATCAAGAAGAAAATAATACCACAGCAAATATTGCAAATGTTAAAATCATTTTTGAAAAAGTTGAACATGAGAATATAACAGCAAACAATGAAAATGAGACTGGAAATAAAATAGCATCTGCGAAAGATCAAGACAAAGCTTTGGCCTCAGCAAACAATGAAAAGGAAATTGATAAAAGTATAAAAGTTTCTGAGAAAAATCAAGAAGAAAATATTTCTATTCCGAATAATAAAGATAAAGTTGAAAACTTAGTAGCATCTGAGAAAGATCAAGGAGAAGCTATAACTGCAGTAAACAATGAAAAAGAATTCGAGGGTACTACTGCAACTACGGAGTATCAAGTAAATATTAATGAAGTTCTGGATCTAATGGCACCTAAGAGGCATCAAGGGGAAGCCATAACCACTCCAAATGAAGTTAAAAACATAATTTCAACTGAGAAAGAAAACAAGGCTTCAGAGAATGAAGAAAACAAAGTTAAAGAATTGATAGCCTCTGCAAGGAATTACATGGAGACTACAGTTGCCCAATATGAGAACAATATCCATATAAGTGATATTAATACAACAAATCAGCAGATGGATGGCCCTTATACTGGAGATTATGAGCCAAATTCAATCAGTCAAGGTGCAGATTCTGAAATCGCAAACCATAAGGGTGTAAAACGTAAACTTGATTTTCCTAGAAATTGTGCAGTGTGTCCTATGTTCATAGAGCTCCCCAAAGATGACAACATCAAAGAGATGAGTCAGGAAAAGGCGTCTCCCATTATCGATAGTGTTTCTATCAGTCAAACTATACGAGCAATGCTGATCACATTGATATCTGAAGATGTTCCATACCATATGGACCCTATAGAAACATGTTTAGAAAAGCTCACTGCAGACCATCCTGATTATGCTCAGAAAAGTAATGAATGTAGTGATGAGCAAGATAACATTGAATCCGGTCACAAGAAGTTTGTACTATGTAGAGATGATGAGAATGATCACAGTACCATCTATCAAACTGAGCAGGAGTTAAATCCAACAGACTCCAATTCTGACTTTGCCAATAGATTTAATGCTGAACCAAATACAGGATCTCCCTATCATATAAATGATGAAGAAATCAGCTATTCACCAATTATTGGATCTCTTAGTAGCTCTAGTTCCAGTGATGTCCTTGATCCAGGAACTGATATGAATGTTCCTTGTGATGATGCAGATGATGAGGGAGTCGAATTAACAACAGTTCAGTTTCAAACAGCTTCACATGTACTGTCTGAAAGACTGTCACAGGGGAGCATTGATGAGAATCCTTCAGCCAGTGATATTAACAATAAACATAGTGAACAATCTAAAGGCAGTGAGTTCATTCATGAGATGAACCTGAAAAGGAAAACAACTTATGATGATACTGAAGATGAAGTAATTCCACCCAAGGTCAGAGCCATAGAAGATGATTATTCTACGACGCCAGAATTAACAGAGTTGGGGCCAAAGGATCAACAGGTAAGAAATAAAGTCTGGATTTTATAATTGTATCTTTTTCTCTATTGGCCTTCACAAAGGGTGACACAGAAAGTTTACAGAAACAATACATCATGTACAATACAATTTTAGACTTTCTTGATAACAATAGGACTCTGATTTCATATTGACAAATTGATTGAAACAGGGGAGAATTAGAACATAATGTTTCTGTTTTTAATAAACATGTGAGTATCCAAAAATGTACTATATTTAGTGATGTTTCAAGTCTTGTGTACAAAATGATCACCGAGGAAAAGAAACCAAACCCCTGTACGTATATGTATAAAGCAGAAGTATGCCCAAGTAATATGAGCACCTATATACCTGCAGGTACCTGGATTTGTTAACATTGCACAGTCCCAAGATGACACCACTGTAGAGCAGCATACCCTCCTTCAAGATGACATCAGCTTTAATCATGAGGAGTCTTTCTATGGAGAATTAAATGGTATTTATTTAATTTAGATTACAAAGAGTTTTCTGCCCTATTTGAAAATATGGAAAGGTCTCTTTGAAAATTTGAGGATCATTTTATGTCACCACCATCAATGAGGTATTGGAAATAAGTGCCAATGAGGGTATTTTTAGGCCCAAAGTAAAGAAAATTCATCTTGAGTGTGGAGAAGTAAGCTCAGTTCTTTTATTTATATATTGGGTTCGTCTATCAAGATAATGTATGAGGTATTGGTAGTCTACAAATATAAGATTTATTGCTTTTAGTTAGCCCTTCATTTTGTTATCTACCTGTAAAATGTTCAATATGTATAGCCTGAGGTTGGCCTGAGGCTGTTGGCTCTGTCCTGCTCTGGTTTGATGGTTTGTGTTCTTGCATGTGAAAAGTGTACTGAAATGAATTGTGGTAGTAGCCATGGATGACATTTTAAGGTTGGAGTATCTAGGTGTACATTGCTCATTTACTATTGTTTGTCTATCATTTGTAGGAGGGAAGGTGTATGCATGTGATGCAGACTTGATGGATGATAAAGGAGGAAGTCAATGCCAGACAGTAGATGAACATGACAGTCAGGGTAGCATAGAGGAGGCAGGTTAGAAAACACAAGGGACAATATTTGAGGAAAACAAAAATTACTAAACATTCCCTAATAAATAATATCAACTGACTGAACCAAATCTCAATGCTACAAAACATAATTTTTATTTTTAACCCTAGACGTGCGCTGAGTGAGTTTAATCGCTTTCCTGATAGACGATGGGCTAGTTTACTCACTTGATAATGTTGAAAGTGTTTGCAAAGATTTAACCTTTAGGTGATATACCAAAATCAAAGCCATTAGTCTAGAAAAATGTATCACAAGAGAAAAGTAATCAAATTCGGTCTGATCTTTGGACTGGAAGACATTATCTTTGCATGATAGGGTAAAGTGAATACTGACACACTATACCTTTCATAACAACACCCTCCGGAATAATACAGTTATCCCATTGATTCCCTCTGGTCAATATAGACTGTGTCATGTCAACTTTATTTCAGCTGATGTTGACCAGGTGAAGTCTGTTGCGAGTGCCTTCCACTGGAGACACCCACCTTCATCTACTACAGATAGAGTTGTTCCTGGCTCTTCGTGTAAGTAAACTAATGTTGACTAATTTAATCCCATAATGTAAGCTAACCATCATTCTGCCTTGGTATGCCATTCAATTTGCTACTCACAACTTGTGTGTATTACTCTCTTACATTTTAAAAGATGGCATTGGGGTCGAGTAAAGAAACAGAAAGTTGAACTATTATTTGTGATGACATTATGCTTGGACTTTTTCATATTCATGGTCATACTTGCATCTCAGATCATATTGATCTACAGGCTTGCTAAGCTGTTTTTGTAATAGTTTATGTGTTTTTCAAAATTTCCCATCAAAAAAGGTAGCTTGCCACATCGAGATGGTCTAGTATCTCTTGAAAATGCTTTTTAGTGCAATCTGAGCATTTCTGAGTAATTTAATTTGTGAAATTCGAGAGTCCCAGATTGTCATCCAGATGAAGCATGGTATTTTGTTATTAATTTCTTCAAAAATTTTTTTAGATTCCAGAAGGGATGCATACAGTAGAACTACCTCATTCCCTGGAGACTGTACTGACCTTTCTTACAGTATTACAATCTTCGAATTTCAAGCGGCTATAAAACCTTGAGAATCAAGATAACAAAATAACCACCAACAGACCAATACCATTATAAATTATGGCATATGTTGCTTTTGAAGGGCTCTCAAAAGAGGAGTTCATAAATTCCATATGTTACCTTTAAATTATTGTCATTATTTTTATTATTACTTTTATATACTATCAATAAAAATTGTTTACCTCACCTCACCAAAGATTGACTGAACTTAGGGGTCAAGGTCAACAGTAAAATGAAAGTTGATTCAATGAAAACAGTAGGCTATTTAATTCTTCATAGGTAACCTGTATAAGTTATATACCTCCGTTTGATCAATCAGAATGAAGTATTTAGATCTGTGATGCAATTCTTAGAATGTTACATCGTCGATGTAAATGTAAGTGAATTCTTATAAGTGAAAATTGCACACAGCTAAGTGCTGTATACAGTTTCCATTCAACTTTAGTATTTAATTATAAGACTTATTGCAAGTCTACAGGAAATTATGAGCTCAAATTTCATTATACCTTTTAAGCATCATCATAGTATATTGGTCAGTATCACGTTATTCTCTCTACTTCAATTATATTTTAGTTCATGACTGACAACCTCTTATTAGTACTCTTCACAAGAGTCATCTACTTACTTTGTGTCATACTCTTAATTGGCAATAAATTTCTATAAGCCAATCAGAACATTGGCTTTGCATAGCCTCTGCAATTTCTGTATATGTTTGGAGAAGCCAACATTATTGTGGGTATGAAATGCTCTTGATTGGTTAAATTCCAAACTTAAGAATATTGCTCTTATTCAGAGGGCAGTGTGCGAGCCAATCATAGACTGGGTAATTTTCACTTACTGAGGTGCAAGATCATGTGTTAATTAATAATTTCTGCTCAAATTGTCTTTCATGATGTTGAATATTGCATCAAGTAGATCATTACAGGCTTGTTATTGAAGTGATATATAATCATATTATGGTCACTTACTAGCAGATTGTACATGTAGACCCATATTCTGAGTGGGTGTTTCGCTACATAATGTAATAAAACTTGAAGTTCTATTTGTACTAATACCAACAACAGTTTAAGTATCAATACCATTCCAATAACATTAATTTTATTCCTCAGGGCTGTCAGGCTTGTCAAAGGAAAACATCTTGGAATTAATGCATAAGTAATAGCCTTTATATGAATCTCCACTTCCAACTGAAAGCTCTTATTGAGTTAGTCACATCACCTAAGAGAAAGGAAGCGTCAAATAAAACACTATCGGGGGTCTAATTATCTAATATTGAATTGTTTGATGTGGATCGAATATTGTATTGCAGGTCATCTATATATCAACAGTCTCTGATATCAAGTAGCATCTTCAGTTGGACCACACACTTTTAATATTTGCATTGAATTATCCTAAAACATGCACTGTTGCTATAATTTTAAATGTATTAATGTTTCATGGATTCTTTATTTATTTAAACATAGATTCAAGTCTAGCTACAAACCCTTGTGCCCCCCCCCCCCCTTGCCCCTAGACTACACAGATTTCATTCTATTTTGCATTGTTTTTAATGAATGATAGCTTTTATTATGTCACCACCAGAAGTGCTGACATACTGTTATAGTCTCCAACCTTTTTGTGGACAGTATTATTCAGTTGATGTTCTGTAACAAATGCATAGGCGCACCCCCTCCCATAAGCAATACAGATATAACCATTAGATAGAGGAAGAAAAGAGCTTTAAAATGCTTTTCATTTGAAGCTTCTAGCTCAAGTTTGAAGGAAGTTACATCAATTTTTGTAAAAAGAAATCACACCCCCATGACTGAAATCGAATGTTTTTGGCGATAACCCCCCCCCCTCCCCCGACTAAAAGCTGGCTACGCCCCTGAAATGACAAGTGGTGACATTTTGGATGATAATATCTTGTTAAAATTCGAAAGTGTATCATATGTTGTGTAACGTAACATCTGAACTTATCGTATGATCTGTAAAATGAAGCCCTCTGATTGGTCAGTTCTTGTGCTGTACCAATCTGTATTGCTACTGAGATTGTCCCCGTTGGTACGAAGGGGACAATCTCAGTAGCAATACAGAGGATCACACGATAAAAATGTTATTGAATGATTTGAAGTGCAATACAGGATATATTCTGTCTCGATATTCTTGAGCAGAATATATCCTGTATTGCGCTTCAAATCATTCAATAACTAATAGTATTGTCATTGTGGTATCACTAAGATATAGACTAATATATGCAAACACTGATTGTTTGTATTTGCAGGTGCTCCAGAGTCACTGAATAATGTCACCCCTCTGAAGACGTGTCCTCGATCTATCAGACTTGGCCTCTCCAAAAACTCAAGACCAGGTCCACTGCACAAAAACTTCCAAATACCTTTCAAAAGGTGAATATGCTGATAAACAAACACACAACATCACTTACCATTGGGTACATGACTTACTGAGAAAAAAGCACCATTTTGGAGATATGATAATTTTACTTCAAGTCATGTGTGGTATTTTGATTGTGCTTCATACTGTTTTCTTTGGTGTACATTGTATATACATTTTGTATTGACAATTATTTTTGAAAAAAGTAAGTTCATACTCAATTCTCTAAAGTACAAACTAAAGATGAATTTTAGTGATTTTGGATGATTTAAATACAGACATTGCCTTTTTGATAAGAGCTATGTAAAACAATACCACTAGATTACTTGTGAAAAGCTAATGATATTTGATATCAACTCCGCAAAATTGATATCTCTCAAAATGACCTGATATTCTATGTACAATGTATACTGTACAAAATACACAAATATTTTGTTTTGTTAAGAGAAATACCAATATGAAATTTCACAATTAAATTATTCTCGAAAGTGGCACAGGTTTTCCCTGAAAATAGAATGAAGTATTTGTTTTTTATTCACTGTTATGTTTCTCATTCTGTAACAAGGGATAAGGGATATTAAAAATGAAAAGGAGGAAATATTTGCTCTTCAAATGAGACTTATTTATATTCATATTAGAGGGATTCATTCTGGAAAAGGAATGTAAAAAGAAGTGTAAGAAAGATTCATCCTTCAAAAAGAGGCTCACTTATCTACCAATGAAATGTAACGTCACATGGTATCACTGAAATGTCATAGGACATGTGATATATGTTCAACCAATCACAGGAAGAGAAACATGGTAGTGAGATAATGATGACAATTATTTTATTGTTATTGTATTGAGGGATCTAAGTTCAGGTTGTATCGCAAGTTAAAATTGAAAGTGTATACCATGTTCATGAAGGTATTTCTGTGTCATACCCTAACTGTAAATACTGTACTATATTTCACTTTTTTATATTTGAATATTTATATTTATCATGTTAATTATCATATTCAAATACACGTATGTATATTTATTATTTTAATATTTGGACCATGTTGAGATTTGTTGTGTATTAAAGTTGTTAACTATTAACGTCACAAAGTTGTATTTATTATCCCAATGAACTGATGGGATATAGTGAACAGGTAAAGCTCTCTGTCAGGCAGTGTCTTGGTCATAAGGTTCGTTTTAAGTTAACCTCTATCCTTCAGGACAATACTGTACTCGTGGTAAATTTCAACGCTTTAAAATTTCGCGGCTATTTAATTTCGCGGATTTGAGTTGATGACATTTGGCGGATTGCACAAGTTGAATTTTTTCCTCCAGCTCTGTAAACTCCATATTGATAATATGGTAATATTAATATACTTACATGCCTTTTTACATATGCATGAACTTACCAAGTACATAAATTGTTGATATAAAATTGAACAATACCCCATGTTAACATACGGAACGTTTTACACCGAACGAAACATATCAAAATTCCCGGGTCAAATCCCTGGGGATTCAAAGCCAAATCTTGTGACAATAATTGTTCGCGATTTTACTACATTTGCGAACAAAGCGAAATTAAATTGCAAGTGAACAATACCCTGAGTACAGTAACTTAAATATCAGTGGATATATTTCAGTAGTCACACATTATTTTGTATGAATTTTGGTAGCATACCAGGTCTAGTATTACCTTTTTGGAAAAATATCTATTTAAAGCGTTACGATAAGCTTCCCGTATAAAAAAAATATGGTGGCTCCAGAAAAGTCAACTGGATCAGTCCATTTTGAATAAATAAGGGGAGTTTTGTAAATTCCAAGTAATTGAAATTGTCTTGGAGATGAAGTAATCCGTTTATAATGATTCTGAAAACAATATTGAGAGAGTGATTGTTCAAAGAATATACATGTACAACAGCCAATATAAATCCTTGTATCAGAACTGCTGTTTCATTTGGAGGATATTTCATATGCTGTGTACTAATATGTTATGGGGAAATTTAGATGTCATTTTTCCTTATTATACACAAATAGAGGATCCTGAAACTTCACCCATAAATGTGAAATTGATTTGTCAAAATAAAAATCTCACTTTTATAAATGTGAGACGATCTATACTATACTAATGCTATATAACAGTTACATATGTTGACACAACGATCTCGAGCCTGTGAACCCTTGAGTATTTTCCGGGATCGGGCCTTTTATACTAAATGGTGAGCAACACCAGAAACGGGCGTTCGATTTGCTAAACGATATCCGTCACCCTTTAACATTTTTAGTCTATTTCAGTTTAGATTACAAACACTTTATCATTTTTTAGATTTAAACTTAAGCAAAAGGCCACAAAGGTTATTGCACACAATTTCAGATGGTTATGTCTTGGATTATGACTATTTTCTGACCATGAAGAAAGGCATGTCTTTTAGATCCATTCATTTTCTCTAAGAAAAGTATATACAATGATAATTAAAACGACTGGACTCGGTGATATCATGGGTGCAATCAACCCATCAACATACTTTTTGAAAGACTTTTTTGCAATGTTTAATGCATTACCATTCTTTATCATAATTTATCAATTAGGCCCCTATTTCTTGAAAAGAAAACTGCATTGCTCTAAAGATTAGTGTTCCTCGTGTTATTTCCCCATAGAGAAAATTCATGTTATCTATTGGTTTCAGCTCATTTTGGCCATCCAAATCAAGTATCTAATCTTTTCCTTTTGGGAGATTAAATATGTCTCAAAGCACATCATCTCAAAGCGCAATCTAATTATCCATTAATTAAATGTTGCATTTCAGTGAAAATTAGGACAACATTTTTGAAAAAGTTTGTTGATGTGTTCATTTGCCCTTTAAAATCACTTTGTCTGATTCACTTAATTATCATCACATAATACTTTTCTAAGTGATAATGGATGGATCTAAAAGATACACCTGTCTTGGTGATCAGAAAATATTCATAATCTAAGATATAATCATCTGTCTGCGAAAACCTCTTTTAATGACCTTTCAAATGTAGAACCTTTTATGTGTATGTGCTCTGTGGATCTTCGAAATGACCACCTAAATGTGGAAACATTGCTTGGGATTTGCTACTCTACAGAGTTGCCATTTTTTTTATTGTTATACAGATTTGTAATATGTTTATTTATATGTTATTGTTGGAAATAATACAAACCTTTGCAAAACAAATTTTATCTCCACTCTCTGTCTACTAATTTTGAGCCTACACTGTATACAAGAAATAAATCGTTGATTCATGATTTTATGAAGGAAATGTTCTAGCATATTCTCAGCTGACTCCATTTTGATTACAGGGAAATTCATTGAATTATAGTGAAAAATGACATGAAAAATGTAACTCTCAGTAATGAGATCCTAAATAAAATCCATTGACTAAATGTCATTGGTATTTGTTACACTGAGTACATACATAGCGCATGTGCCCATTGCTATTTATATGCCTGGTGTTCTTTAGAACTGTCATCAGTGATATGTGAGACTACAATGCCACAATTATCTGATTATGTAGCCTAGCCATGTCATATTAATATTACATCTAGGGAATTCTTTAAAAATTGTTAAAATAGAATATCAATGTTTTTATATGAGTGGTTAATATAATTATGCTTCATGCTTAAATTGATGCAGATCCTAATTGGCATGTTTACAAGTATTCATTTGAGATTTCTATGTTCAACACAGCGTGATTATGTTTCTTTCAATCCAGGTGCCTAAAGTTTTGGACCTTACAATACCACAAAATGCTTTGTATTACATGTATCAAAAACATCTTGAATGATCGGTGATACACATTTTATTTTGAACACACGTGACTTGCTCTATTGAATTTTGAATGAAACAATTTTAGGATTATTGATTTATTCTTGAAATTACTTTAAGGGATTTCTTTACTCATTGACTTCTTCTTAATGAGGATTAATGTGGTCAGTGTGTAGAAATGTCCAATTGGGGCCAGTTAACATTTAACATGCACAAATACATGCGATTAAACCATATTAGCCTTAGAAGTTGATGTCCTAGTAGTAGTATAGTCTTGCTTCAAGACCCTAGACTATCTACTCTAACAACCAGTTGTGAGATGAGATAGTCCAGGGTCTTGAACCAAGACTAGCAGTAGAAGATCAATTTGGAATCCATAAAGGCAGATGAGAGGCAAACTAGAATTAAAAAGCATCCGAATACTGTAATACAACTGTAATGAACATTGAATAGAACTGTCTGGATTATAACAAGCAAATTGCCAATAAGAAGGTCATAAAGGGATTATACTTGTTATTGAATGGGTTACATGGATAATGGGGGAATCTCTTGTGGACAATACTTTAAACCTTAAAGATCCCTACGGGTCAAGGCACTCCCTTCGCTGTAGTGTTTCCTCATATTAGGCATTAACTTAGAATAGATCGGATTAATCAATGTTGTGTTTTAAGCAATAGTATGCTATTAGTTGGACTTGCAAACGTCTCCAAAGACTTCCCCTTAGAAAGGCTGACATTTAGTTATGTGGCGCCTATGTTGCATCAGATGGCTTAAATAACAAAATGCTGATTCACAAAAACAAAATGATTGGACATCAGATAACTTTTTATACAGTTATGATCCTGGGTGCTGAATGATTGCTTGTAATTTGAATTGACTTATTTCATACCATCACAATGCTACTTTGTGACAGTGACATTGTTATTCCAATATGTGAAATAGATCTGAATCTTCTATTGGAAGCCACGAGTCCCAGGTTCCCTACCCTTTGCATTCGTTTGACTTCACTTCTTAAAAGAGAGCTTCGTCTTCACTCTTTCAAACTAAAATAAACCTGTGAACTCACCGCGCCAATCAGTTTTCGTCGGCCAAATTTGACCGACGTTCTTTATATGGTCATTCCTTCTGACGTCATCATTGAGCCCGGAATTGACCAATGCCATGCGAATATTTAATTAGAACGCATTTGGCGTATGTTTCTTGAAGCTCGCTGATTGGTGGAAGGGCAGCGCATAGGTCAAAAGTGTTTTACCCAAACTGTCACCGGTACCCGTCGAGGGGGTGGGGCTATTAAACTGTAATATGGTCTCTACTAGGCAGAGTGTAGTTTAACTAGACTCTGCACGCAGGGTACAGGTTCCCATATGGAAGCTTGGCAAAATATCAGTCAACTTAATATAAGTCATATTTAAGTCAACTCAAGATACTGTGCTAATTAACATACTTAAATCAGTAGTCATCATCAGTCAGCCTCATAGAGGTCATTCACATCAATGCCAGGATCATAGAGGTCAACACAATAGAAATCACAGAAGGTCAAGGTCATGTTTCGAGAACAATGTCACCCGGAAGGTGGAGGAATAATTTGGTGTAACATTTTAAGGCTTTCTGAGGCTTAGACCTCACTAGCTAAAATGTGGACCAGATTATTGCTCTGGACAAAATTGAAGTAAAGAATGATTTATAAAATATGGTTTTGTGAATATTCATAATTTATTAGGCCTAATGAAGTGCCACAAAAATTTGTCTCGACTAGACCATCACTTTTGATGCTATTATTGCATAAAATAGGCTTAAAAGTTATCTTTATTATATCTTCTGCTAAAGCTTATAAGGAAATTACATAACTCAAAGGCCATATAATAAACCATATGTTAAATCTCAGAGTAGAAGTAGAGATAAAACTACATTCTGAAATTAAATAAGAAATAGTTTTTCATTGAAACATAATGTAATACATGTACCATTATCCATTCTCCAAAACGAATTTTGTGATGTCATTATGATTTTGTAATAAATGTTACAAAAACCATATTTAATTAAACTTGTTCTCAAGAATGGCTTCATGGGAAATTAAATAATTTTGTGTGAATTGAAAGATTGATGAAATGACGGGGAAAGTTCCACAAGCGTGTCAAATAAATGACAAACAAGCCTGAATGATGCTGATCAACACATAAAACCTTACCTTGGGAATTCAAAATTGTTTCTTAGAATTGAAGAGATGACTGATAACGATGACCTTAGTGCTACAGATAAGTGCTCAAGAAATCCTATGACATTAAGTTAAAATATAGATTTTCTCCCTTAAAATTACAATGTTTTGAACAGAATTTCTCTTCAGTTTACAGATTTATTCTTTCATTAGGTGTGTTTCTAGTTATTTTGGACTATTTATATTGGACAACTAATATTTGATGAAACTAGACCAAAACATTTAATAACTTTCCCTTAAACTCTCAGCAGCACAAGGACAATTCAAAAAATTGGCTATCGCCAGGAGAGAATACTTTCAACTGTCCATAAAGATCTTATTGATAATATCTCAGATATCTGGATTTTATAGATAGTCCCTGAATTATTGATCTATGTTATCATTTATTTGCGCTGCAAGATATTCTGCTTCAAAAAATGAAGGAAAATGTTCATGTTTGATGCTCTATTTCGAAGTACTTACCAATAATATGTGGACTATAAATAAATATAATTAACTGTTTCTCAGGCCCTTAATGACCTAATGAAGAAAAATGAATTAAAGGTCATATCAGATCTTAAAAGATGGCACTGACTATAATCAGTGTTTTGCAAAAACGATCCCTGTGGTATACTCCATTTTGAATTAACTCAATATTCAAGTATATCTTATACGGACACTGGAAAGGGAAAATATGTCCAAAGGTCATTGATTATCATCTATAGTTGAGGATTTTGTTTTCGGAAAGAGATTGACTGTCATGTCTTATTTCCGTTTAGTTTAGTTGTCTACCAGGTATTAAGATTTATCTTCCATCCTAGTTGACTTGATTAGTACAAAGCTACTGAAGTATTGGTTGAATGCAGATTAAAATATGCAGTAAATCAATAGAGACTGATGCACATGGATCAAACAGACTTGTTTTCAGCTTTAAATTACTGAATTCCCAATAGTATTGCATGAAGTCTCTCTTTCCCTTCTCACAGTATATTCCCCCAGTCTTGTGATGGTATAAACCTTTTGTAGGTACAATATATATGAGCATTTTCAACTTTATTTCTATAACATTTATCTATACTGTGATTAGAATTTTTTCGAAAGTTAGAAAAAGACCTAAGCTGATATGAAAATGCTGGAGTTCTTTTGCATATAAAACATGAAATACATGTTTCTTATAACTTTTATATACAGTAAAAACAAAAATCTTTAATTAGTTAACATATTGACTGCACATCCAGTCATATTTACATTTATTTATGTAAAGGAGGGTTGTGACTAGTGCATTATTGCACATTATATATTTTGTTGTTTTGAAGCACAGTAATTCGTTTATTCCCAAATTGGGATTTGTCATCCATCATATTAGCTTACAATAATATAATTATTGCACAACAACAGGGGTTGATCCAAATCATGAACAGTCGTGGAAAACATAATTGTTAACGTTTGGGGAGGCGGTAAAAGTGACAACTTGATTTTGGAAAACATTGATTTTCTACTTTGGGAACCTTATGAAGTATCTTTCTGTTTAACCCTAGAAGCCCTAAGTCAAAATGACTCCCCCCCCTTGTTAAGTTTTTATAACTTTTTATTAGCATCTAGAAGGGTCTTCAAATGTTCAGTAGCTGAAGCTACAGATATAACAAATGTTTTCTGAAAAATTCAGCAAAATTGTACATAGGGTAATTGCACTAATGAATTGATACATTTATCACATTTATTGGAGAGGCTAAGCCAAGTTCCACATCTGTTGAAATTAGATCAAAATCCCTGAAGTGTCACCTTCAGATAGAATATAGGAATGTAATGTCAATAAAATATGTAATATTATATCTGAGGTGCAAGCATTGGCTCAAATCTTTTTACTCTCATACATATTACTAATTATCATATCCTGAAAATATCCCAAAATATGCTTTCCTTGCCATTCACTTAACACAGCTTAGTTCACCCTTATATACAGCTATAAATAATGGACTGGGTGGTCGCAATAATCTGACTGGGACAGTTATTGAATTCAATTCAACTATATCTTGCTCAATATATTTTCGTGTTAAATTTATATGGTGCCTGCCCAGTCCATTATCAGTAGCTGCATAAGGGTAAACTTCAGGCTTAGAACATTTTTTGATAGATCCCTTAATAAACTTATGGATGGACAGCACCTTATATTAATATACTGTATGATATTAATAATGTTACATTGTAGTCTGAGCATGATAATGGTAAAATTTTCTATTGCCTCTCTTATCAAAGCATAATTGTGTTCATAAGAATTATGAATTGTCCCATTTATCATCCCATTGTAAACACTGATTTTTATCCAATACACATTGGTATTTTTGTTCAGTTGAAGCGAAAGGAGAAGCAATTATTTGGAATTGGATAATATTTAAGCTGATCTGTATGTCACCATAAACCCAGGAATTGTTCTTTCTCTTACTAAAAGTATATGATCACCAGGTTTATCACTGGGAAAAATGACAACTCATCATCTGAGATGCAAATCCAACTAAACTAAATATGTTTTCATCATTCTGAATAGACCATGCTAGAAATACCGTAGAAGTATCTCTTGTCTGTAAAGAATTACAATCATAACAAAGTGAAAAAAATATTTCAAATAAGAACCAAATCCATAAAGGAGTATTCTCATTATAACCAGAATCGGCAGTCACTTAAAATCAGCAGTTTTGATAAAACTGTCAAGGCAATATCCTAGACTTAAAAAGCACAATCATTGCAAATACGAACTGAATCTGTCAAGCATAAATCAAGTTACAGCCCAAAACTTTTAATCTAAAGACATCGATGGCTATTTTGAATTAAAATGATATTTTGAAAAGAGCTGCTGCCATGTAGACTGTCTTTTGTCTTTCATCTCACGCATACATTCTACCCATTGTTAGTCGAGAAAATGTCAAATATCGATAATTAAAAGAATGTCAGGAATTTTGAAAAAACAAATAGACATCTTACATACATTTGTAAACCTATCTAATATGAAATGTACATTAAAAAGTATTCAAGTTACAGTAAAACCTATCTCAGTGAAACCCTTTGGTACCTCTAAAAAGTGTTCCAATTGAGAAGTGTTCCACTTATAGAGGTTCATTTAAGATTAAGTAAGTTGGACTTGGGGCTCTGAAGTGTTTCACAAAGGCGTTCCACTTCTAGAGGTGTTCCACTTTACAGGTTTCATTGCAAAGGCAAATACACCAGCTTTTTGAAAATTCTTTCTCCATGTACCAGATATGCTTTGCCCATGCACCGTCCTATAAATCAAAGTCAAATCAGAGAACAAGCACTTGATTAATTTCTCCATTAGAAGGATGGACATATAAACAATGGATAAGCAAATGAATAAATGACTTCTCTTTATCCCTATACAAAGGAGTGGTATCGATGTGGTGAACTTTTTGGACACATATTTCTCTTAAACCAGTAATCAAAACATTCTGAAAATTTTACACGATCGTCAATTTAATGATCATCTTTTGGATGGTAACATTATAATTTGAAATACATATAAATACTTTTTTCTATATTGTTTTAGAAAACACATCAGACACTCCTTTTGTTATTGGTATCATATGTTTGGAATGAAATGAAACATCTATCCGAACCTCATTGGAACAGAACGACATAAACACAATGTGTTTAGGTCTCTCAATATTGTAATTGTACAAACGAAAGTTTGGTTGATTTTAAAAAAGTATCTTGTTCATGAAATAAAAGGTTTATCTTAATTTTTAACTATTTTGGGGGGTTCTGTTTTAAGTTTATGCATACTTTTTGTCAAATCAACCAAAATTTCCTTTGTATAACTATAATATTGAGAGGTCTAAGAAAATGTTGTGTATGCTATTTTGTTCTAACAAAGTTCGGAAAGACATTTTACTTCATTCTCAAAAATTGGTAGAAAGGAACAAAAAACCATTGCACTAAAAAACAAAAAATGTTAACAAAAACAGTTATATAAAATATATATAAATAATTTTCGCATTAATTTTGTTGCCAATCAGTCAACATTACATAAAGGACCGTGTTTTTTTTACAGAATGTTTTCAATAACATTGTTGAATTTGGTTCACCATATCGATACCTATCCTTTCACTGGTTAGGGTACTAAAATATGGAAAAAGAGACATAACCATACAATGATTTGTTACTTCTTAATATCGAACAGTTAACTTTAGAAAAGTTTGGCACTGAAGTAATACATTTCAATTAATGATACTGTTTGTTTCATTGGAAATAGGAAAATAATCAATATCATTTACTTCATAGGATCAGAATTGCCAGACTGCACTGTAAGAATAATTTGATGCCAGTATTTTGTGTGCAACAAGGGAATAACAGTTTTCAGCCTCTTTTACTCCAGCAGTTGTCCCTGCGGGGAACTAGCTACAAGCTTATCCCTTTAGTTTGATGTACTATGAGATCTAGCCTTTTTAACACTACATAGCCATTTTATAATACGAGCATTTTTCTCTATAATTGATGTGTGGCAGGAACTTCTACGTTCTGGTGTCGCTGAGGTCGCCTCTTCTGGTAGAGCTAATACATTATCACTCAATTTAGACTCACTAACATCGCTACATTGGCTTCGAGCACAACGCGAGTTTAATGAACTCATACTTTCCACGCATTCAATCTTATCCAATTTTCCTCCTAACATTGGGTCAAGTACCCTTCTATCGAGTCCCATTTCATTAAAGAATTTATCAAGATCAGCGCTATTTCGTGAGATCTTCGAACTCCCCTCTGAGAGATCACAACTGTTATGGGAATGGCGGTGACTAAGATCAGATCTGGAACGTATGATATTCGATGTTTTGGGACGTCGACGTACTATGACATCATCAGTTTTGCTGGCTGAATCAGTTTGTACATCGCCTTTGAAGCTGTCTGTTTCAGAGGCTGTATCAGTGTGACTGTCACGCCATGTCACTCTTGTGTCCAAATCCCGAACTAAATCGATACGATTTATCCTCCCTTCGCTACTGTATATGGGGCGCTTCAATAATCCAACTTGCAAATTATAACGCGAATCAGAGCTCTGCTGCTGAGACATTTCTGATTGTTCTGTTGGTTCAATGTCATCTAGATATGCACTATGGTGATCTACACCATCTGTGTCATCAACATCTGAACTGTGTGTATTGTTATTATCATTGGTGTCAATAGAGTTGGAATGACTCTCTCTTCTGTTTCTCTGTATTGTGTTTAGGGCGTTGTTGTCCTGGTTATGTGTATATTGTAAGTTGTAAACTCCCCTTGCATGTCTGGAAGAACATTATAAATAGAATATATTGAAAGCTCTTTACATATGACACTCGGCAATGCCATGTGACATTTTAAAATATTTCACTGAATTGATATCATTATTCAAACTCCCTCAGGATATAAAAGGGTTCTAATCTCAGTACAATGGAAAATAAATGATATGTACAGTTTTGCATTTCATTATTGACAGCAACACTCAGCCTAAACATTATAACAAAACGAATACTGAAAAATCAGATCTGACACAAGGAAGTACATTGTACTCATCAATGAACAAAATCGTTGCAATAAAGGAGTATTCTAATATCATTCCATATTAAAATTACAGTAAATTTTTTTTGATTAATTCCAACTTCAATTTCAGTTGAAATAATAAGAATCAATTAAATACTTAATATATCCTGGACATCAAATATCAAATGAATGCTTGTGGGAAAGTTAAACAAGGCACTGGCATGCGAAATGTCGCTACCTGCCATTTGTTACAGATGCCGAACGACACCCGTCAAATGCCAACCGGCATCCACAAAAAACTATAAAACTATGTGACATAAAATTTAAAATTAGAATCTGTCTGTTAAAAACCAGAGTTGCTTATTAGAGAAGACAAACAGTTGAGGTTGGACTGTAATTTATCTCATCGAACAAGCAAACATCTAACTGAAGCCTCATCAGAATATCTGGATCCCATTAATGACTCAAGGCAATTTCACAATATTCATCTCCATTCTAATGCGTAACAATTAGATTTATACCAGAACATAACTGACCCTAGAGACCATTTACGTCTTTGCAAACGGTTTTATTCAGAAAAACTTAATATGGCTGGCTCGAAGACCAGGTCTAAATAAGCTTTTAAGGTTTCTTATAGTTAATAAAATCTATTCGATTTCAAATTAAAGGAATGGAAAGACAAGCCTATGATTAATTGTCTGAACAAGTGCAGAATTATTAATCTTCTAGCCAACATTGATTATATAAACTCTTTAAGATGTATTTTGAAAGTAAATCAAATGACTGTGTGCTTGTACATACAGTGAACCATAATAGCTCAACCCATATTCTTTCCCAATTTTGTAAGGCCGAACCAAGCTATTTCAACATTCAGTTTCATTTTATTTACGTGGATGGCTTTCAATGTTTTTCAAGCTATTTAAACATTCAGTTTCATTTTATTTACGTGGATGGCTTTCAATGTTTTTCATTTTTGTAGCTTAGAATTAAGGGTCAGAAATATGAACACCTACTCCAAAGCTGCAAAAAGGTTTCGCAGAGAAATATCTAATATCAAATATGGTGTGATTTTATATCTACTTTATGTTCCTATTTCTGGATAGTGTCATTTATATAATTGGACTTAACGTCGGAAATAATGTTCTTTTCTTAATACCCAATAAAGCAGGTCAGAATGACTTTCTTATTAAGCTTTCATCTATCATAACTTGAACAGCCTGACAGAAGTGCCGCCAGACACAAAATGTAAGAAGTTAAAATTTGTACAAAGTAATTAACCCCATACATTCTGAATTCAGATTATTTCAAAATTACCATCATTGTATACTCGCATAATGAGCTACTGGAGAAAAGTTTATATGAAGATATTGCGAACAGCATTTTGCCTCAAGTTATTTTTGACACTTTCCCCTCAACCTTAATTCCAATTTGCATATTGGAACAGCTCAAATGTTTGCAATGCAGTGCTATAATATCATTGATAGACAATATGTTAGAATCTAGATGACATAAATGTTACTTTATGCATTGTACCGTATGAGACAAATTGTTCACGTTTGCCTTGTGCAATGTATTAAACAGTTGAAATAAATGCCTCACCAAAGATTTTGTGCCTCATTGACAAAACATTGCCTCATTGAGTGTGTCTAATAAATTACAAATACATTTTGACAGAACATAAGTTGGCGATCAAAGGATTATGACATAAAAATATAAATATGTTATTCTGATTTATCAGAGTCTATTTTTATCAAATGCTTGCGTCTGCTCTCTTCCAAAGAGGCAGTAGCACCCAGAATTTCTCAGTGTACTTTAAACCTCTTATAAAAAATTGCTAGATTTCACGTCACCTAGACAGCTGCCCTGGAAGTGTCAAACATAAGAAAACAGGTTGCTAAGTCTCCCTCGAGTCCTTCAAATTCTACTTGTGTGATAAATGTTCAATCTCAGTCACAAACATCGCTCTTCAGACAAAACTGAACCCATAATCAATAGGCTTTAATTTTCCCTTTCAATTGAAAGCTCATTTGGAATGCAAGGAGATCGAATAGAGCCAATGTTTTAATTAAACCAGGGTGTAATATGAATCAAAGAAAGTTTCCTTTGAAACCCCTGATAGACAATTTCAAAACATCTTGTTGTACTGTCAAAGATTCATAAATATTTACAAGGTACAAAGGAAAGAGAAAATATATTATTATTTGATGAACAGGCTTTTACAAAAAATTGTTCAATATTTCAAGTTCCATCACTCATGTACAATGGATTTTCTTAATCAAAGGGAGTACAACTATTACAACAGGAATTTATTATCACAAATCATGGGTAGTATATTTCATGAATGCAAACTATCAAGAAAATTGAGATGGTATAGAATGTTAGAGGTATAGTCTATTGATTTGAAAAAATACCATTAATATCTATAGCAGATATAATATCTCCTTGAGTAAATGCGGAAAAAGAGTGGTAAATGATAAATTTTCAAAAACAGGGGCACTATTTAACTGTTATCCCATGGGAAATTATTATCGAACACTGAATGATTACCTTTTCAAAACAAATATCATTTTGATATTAAATTTGATATTAAAGACATTTGCTGGTCGATACCACTCAACATATCAAAACCAATGAATACAATAACATTAAATATCACTTTAATGAATGTCCATGTAATATAAAGTAAAGTACCTGTCTTACAACAATAATTTAACTATTTCATGAACCATTCCAAATGGTTTACAAATAATCAACATAATGGACACAATTACTTGTTATATGTATTTTATGTAAGAGATAAAGATCTGGGAGTAGATGAAAGATTATAAAAAGATTCAGCTTCAAACATATACATGTTGGCATGCCATAACCCAATACAAATGTGAAAACAAATTTGGTTAAGAAAACATGTTTATTCTATGAAGGTATCAATCTCGGAGCACATACAGGTTAGTCATAGAGCAGAGAGACATTAGAAAATATGAAACATTAATCTAACCTAACCTCCCCTGAGGATCCTATAAGCCGAAAAGTAGATAAGTTACGGTGAAATATTCTGATGATATCTCTGATGTAATTGAATAAAGGATGATCGATGCAAACTTTACTTGTAATGACCATAATCAGACAGAGGGAGAAATGCCATAACTGTAATTTCAAATAAATCCGTCGCTGTCTATGAATTTATTATAAACATTAAGCGGTACATTTGTTCTTACGTAATAAAATAATAATTAAAATCGCATGAGTTTAAATTAAAGTTTTATACACAATATAAGGCTCTCCTAGTACATTTTAAAAATGACTACAAAAGTGGAGCAATAAAGATGGAAACACCAAGCCATCAGTCATCAGGCCTGCCCCAGACAGCTATAGTTACTTGTTCTGCCATTTTTAAATTAACCATGTCAATTATACAATAAAAATTCATATAAAAGATAAAATCACTGAACCAACGAGAGAAAAACTCCGAAAATTGAATCTCGTTGTGACTCACCTGTTCCCGACCTGTAAGTTTTCACTATTGCTAAGTCTCTGTCTGCTCTGGAGAACCGTGGATGACTTCACGTATTGATGTTTCGAAGCCTCTAGCAGCTCAACCGCACTCTTCCTCCTCCCGCCTATGAAGTAATAACATCACATGAGATCCAATAAGACAGACTATTAATACATGGGGGAAGTGAAGTTACTGTAGTAGATGGGTGCTAATTCAGCTATTTAGTTCCACCTACATGTCTGCCATCTATTTATTAATGAAAAGTTATCTAGTTCAAAAATGAATGTTTAAGGCCTATTAGCTTTTAGTTTTGTCGTTTGTTACCATAAAGGTCACATGAACGTATGTGAAGGCCCAAGTATTCTTGGCTACCCATCTATTCTGATTCTTGCCGAAGTATACTGACCTGACCCAAGTATTCTGGGTTTACTTATTTTTTCGAATACACTCAATAGATGTCTGCATTAGTTTTTTAATCATTTGTCAATGGATTCCACGTATATTCAAAAGATGGCTCCTGAAATTAATTTGGAAACCACTCATGTTTTTATAAATGATATAAATGACTACCTCCGCTCGGTATGTAAAACATACTATCATTGATTTAAGAAAAATAACAAGGGCGGAGGACCCTATTATTGAATATGCGTGTTGTATCATACATAAGGTAAAACGCAATGGTCGATCTGGTGGAGGACAGGGGCCCGACCCTCCCCTCTGGAGGGCCCCAAACAGTGAGGGCCAAAAAAACGTATAGGGCAAAAAATCTTCCCTCTCCACATAAATTAAGCAATTAAGGTAACAACTCGGCATTACTGAGCATGATTTATTTTAATTTTGAGCCTGTTTTTATAAACTGGGCTCAAATTTTCAGATTTAGGACCCCCTACTCTTGATTTTCTGATCCGTCCCTGGAACGTAAGTATTTTTTACAGCCACTGTATATCTTCTGTGCGCTTTTTACTTTTTATGTAAATTTGGACCAAAGGATCTAGTGCACTTTCCATTATGATTTCCCCATGAACAAAAATATTCATTTTAGGTGTAACATAAAGAACACAATGTCACATAATACTTCGGAAAATATCTAAGATTGGACCCACATGGGCTGAGGTTGAGGTCATTGAGTTCAGCAAGGGTGTATGTGTTTCATCGAGATGTTGATATCATCAGATTCCAATGAAGGTCATTGGTTTCTATTGATTTTCACAAAAATACTTTAAATACACTATGACCTGAATCGATTGCAAATTAAATAATTTCACAATATGACACAACTGGTATATCACATCAGATGTGCAAATATAAAGTTTGCAATCGATTCAGGTGATACTTCAAATGAAAAGATTATACATTTTTTCATCATTTTTTCTTACAAAATGGCTATAGAAAAATGCTTCAAAAGCAACTTTTACACTTATGAAATGCCATATAACTTTGTAAATCCAAAGATTATACTGTTATGTTTCATTAATTCATAACATATTTGGATAAGATGTAGGGATGTGTAGGATGCAAATGGATTTTGACAGACACAAAAAATACTTCCTGATTTGGCATCTCTACCCCTGTACACTTTATGATTGAATATTGGCCCTAATAAGTGGCCCATTCATCAATACAGTGCTGAATATAGGTCAACAGGATACTAGTGTACATATAAATGTAATAATAAAAGCAGTATATTCATTTCGAAAATTCAGATGAATTTATTTTTGTTCATGGGGAGATCATAATGGAGGGTGCACTAGATCCTTTATTCGTGTAAATAAACATGAGAGTATTCCTGAAAACAAAAATCCAATAGTAATAAAATGATTTCCTCGTTACGATTTTATGACATCTTTGCTAGTGACAGTGACAGCAATATATTTTAACAAAGCATTAACATGCAAAATGTCGTCCCTGGCATTTGTTACAGGCGCCGAACGCCAACCACAGAATGCCGTCCACAAAAAGTTAGAGACTATAACAATATGTCACCACTTGTAGACTCCCACTCCTTGATGCGTATCAATTAAATCTTTAACCATAACCTGCACCTATTCGCTGGCATTTAGCAAATACATATGTAATTCGTAAACTTTCTAGGAGAAGTCGGCTGAGCTTGACAAAAACATCAAACCTGAGAAGGCTAGAGTTGACAAAAAAATATTCAATTAGCGTTGAATTTATCAGATAAAATATGTTTGAATTTCAGTAAATGTAGCTACATGAATTTTCAATATTTAAATCTTGGTCACTATATCAGCCTGCTCAGCGCTCTTTATGTAGTTTATTTTCCCATACACCCAATGAATTCATCTGTATCTATGTTAGAAGTCTCTTATTAGTCTATAAACACAAACATGCCGAGATTAGAAGTAAGCTTAATACTATAATCTATACTAGTACATTAACACTTCTAAAACATAGTTGAAAACATGTTTATGTCTGTTTAATAGATCAAGATTTTTTGCAACTGGAAACATGAGACACAAGATCTAAGGTCATGTGTAATATGAGAAACCTGTGCTGCAAAGCAAGACCGAGGAGGCTGATTGTACAAAGTTACAAACCAAAATAAAAAACAAGACATCTATCGAGTGTATTTGAAAAAATTAGCAAACTCGGAATACTCGGGTCAGGTAAGAACACTTCGGCAAGAGTCAGAATAGTTGGGTAGCCAAGTATACTTGGGCTTCCACAAACGTAATTTACAAGTTTTAAATGAGGAAGAGGAGTTCCAAGATGTCATTTCATCTATTCTTACTTAATGTTTATATATATTATACAAATCATTTATTTAAGCAATTAAACCTGCATCCCCGGGCCTGTATCATTCTTCATTGGGAATTTTGAAGCATGAGTGTGTGTACTAACCCACACATTATCAGGATGGGTTAGTTCATGCATGAATGCTTTTAAAGGGGAAAACCGGGTATAAAAGGAAGATGGAAGAGCCTGGAACAGCCAATTATGCCTGTTGAAAATGTTTGAATCACTGAAACCAGTAAATTTATTTTGATTTTGCCAATATCATGATTTCTAGGAACTTCCAGTCATCCAAATTTCTAACAGTTATGTATTAAACCATAAAGAATAGAAATGTCGAATCATATTCCAATTTTATCCAGTATATTTCAAGCAAACTTGAAAAGAAATATTTTAAATGTCTCATTAAATATTCGCAGTGGGATGTGGCTTTAATTTGAACTTGACCAATAATATGTTATGCTCTCAGGTCAAAGGTCATGACAAGTAAACAAAAGCATGTGGTTCTGTTATGAAGTGATAGACAAAATGTGCCTACTTACCAGTTCATGACCATTATTCAAGTAATCCAGAACTGAAGATGAATATCCAAATATATAAAAATCCAAAATATGTTTTGATTCAATGTTGTATATGATCCTTTGGTTCTAGGTATAAACTGATTCAATCAGTTTTTCCCAAATGTTTTCTCTGAAGGAATATGTTGGTTTTGTTAGAACTTTTTTGGGGTGCTTGAAGGGAATGTCTGGGGCTTCTGATTCGAACAAGCTTGTATAAGCCCTGTCCACATTCTCATTCCAGTATAATACAGCTAAATTTGTCCTCATTTCATATTGAATATCTTGAAAGTAAATCCGTTTATCCTGGAACATGTTTAGTGTATTGTTAAAACTTTCAACATATGCTGTTGAAAGCGCCTTTGTGTAATTATGTGCATTTTTATAGATTGTGCTTTTTTTAATTGTATCATTTAATAGTCGAATAGCAACATCGTTTCTCACAACAATTGTACTTGGTTCATAGTTTGGATCTAGTCGACAGCGAGATTGATCAAAACAGTTTTGATGATTATTTTGGAAATGTTCAGTCATATTTGCCAGCATGTTTCTCAATGTTTCTGCATTCTCGCCACAATTTTTCATGGCTGTATAAGCAAATTTCCTTATTGCTTCTGGTTTATCTTCCAGTTGAGCATGCCATGATTGACCATGCTTATACTTGGGCCCTGATGCAACATTTTGAATTTGCTTCTTCAAAGCAATGCAGGCGTGCCATGAGTCATTTTGGTTGTCCGTAAATATCTGAGTATCTCTCACAAGGCAGTTCACAGCACCATTACAATCGTGAACGTGTGTACCAATAGACACATTTTGCCTCTCAAAATCATCATACATTCTGCGTGTGCCGAATGTTTCATGTCGCTGTGAACAGGGATCATCTCTCTTTGTAACATGGATTGAATGCAAGACTTGATGAGTTTTTTCACCAATGCAAACTATATCACAGTCTTTAGCGTTCTTTCTGCAACCGTGTCTAGCATCTGTCATGATGGTAATTCCTTCTTCTTAGTTTGGATACATCCCAATTTCCAACTGGACAGCGTTCTCAGATGATTCATTTTTCAAAGATTTAATTATATTGGCGAACTCCTTTGTAAGATTGTCCAAATAGCTTTGGGACATGGTGCCAATGTTAGCACCTTCAGAGAATCGTTCATACTTTGAAGGTATCATCCCAGATGTAATATAACCATGGAACACTCTATAATTAACAAGAAAATGAGCATTTGCCATGTATGGGGATGAAGTCCATCTTATATTATGTCCATGCTCACATCTAAGATTAGCAATGGCGACGTGCCCATGCATTGTACTGTTCTCCCATTGAAGAGTGGAGTTACATAGTTCTTGGTGATGACTCGATTGTGCTACAAGAAGGTTTATGGCACTTGTTGTTGTTAAAAACATCAATTCGTTTGTGTCATCCTTAGAAACAGAGGAAAATGGTTGAAGTGGTACAAAGTCCTGATTGATGACCAATTGCGATGCTGATTGTGCCATTTCAGTTTCTCTTGAATGATTTTTAATCCAAAAATCAAGGGCCTCTTCAATTACGTCAGTGTTATTTGACAACTTTTTAGAAAGCGATTTTTCCTTGAGGAATCTCATTTTTCTAAGAACTTCATTTTTTCTTACTTCATTTCCTCTCAGATAGAGTTGAAAGGTCAACCCCTTATTAGAGAATTTCTTTTCTTCACTCATTTTCTTTGATAGTTTTGCTTATATGCTTATTGATATGTCTTATTCAGGAGAAAATCACTGATAAAGTGCTTGGTTTTGGTTTTTGAGTTTTGACAGATTTGTTCTCAGGGATGTGTCATTTGATAAGATTTCTTCTCTTCAGTTTTACCAATGATCTGGTGAAATTGTAAATGTACACAGGAAAGTAACTTTTGTACATGGAACTAAATATTAACTTAGTCATTTCATTTTTATGCAAGAATGATCTTACTTTCGCACCATTTGGTAACTAAGCAATGTCAAACAAGTTATTGTCATCCAGCTTGCATCATTCCTTACTCATGTTGTCAGATCTTATAGTTTACTATTAAGTTTGGGTGATCCTGGGGGGGGGGGGGTGACCAGAGACTTGAGGCAAATCCAAGGGGTCATCAGAATGTGTTCATCCATGGCTAGTAAAAATGTCAACTTTCATTTGTGTGCCTTATTGATATAGAGTAATGTGAATTTATATGGTCTATTATATTAATTATTATAGCTTATAGTGTAGCTAATCAAGTGGAGTACTAAGTGGTACACCCTCGGTTAGATAATGATGATCCATAGGAGGTAGCTATCCAGAACATTACAAGTGATCATGCTGGTCTAAATCTACAAGTAATGGTCTGATTATGGGATGAAGATTACAGATCCATGGAACAGACACGAAAAGATCAAGGGATCTGCCATTGAAAAAGACTTTGAATGATGATAATCTAACTTTAATTTGATACACACTTGTGAAATGTCTTCATAAGTCTGTCAACACATAGCCATAAGGTCCCATTTACCTACCACTGCTCTTTTAGCAATTTCTAATGAATTACCATAAGTGTTCCAAAATGTGCCCAAACTACTTATTTTTGCTGGTTTGCATTATCCTGAAAAGTGTGCAAGTATTTTGATAGAATGAATATGGTATTTTGAACTTAGCTTGACTTGTATTAGAAGTAGAATCTCATGTGACCATCCCCACTATCTATAAACAGTATATTCAAAACTCTTATCAGAACCAGCATATAAACAATTACTTATAATCATTTTTTGTTCCATGCAAAAATGTCTGCAAAACGTTATATATTTGCCATATGGACTGATGAAACAGAAGAACTTGCAATACGAACATTTTTAGAGCATTGTGGCATCACTGTGAAAGAAGCTGGTATTGAAGATTTGAAGCAACATTTGGAAAGTGAAAATAGTGAACAATCAAGCCAACCAGTCGAGACTAAAACTGACATGGATGTAGACAGTGACGATAATGATCCATTGGGCCCTCCGATATTTCCACCAGTATTGGGTACTGATGAATGCCCACATTGTTTTTGTGCCCCGTGTTGCACATCAGAACAGTTTAGACAGTTGTGGTGGCAAACAGAAACCAGTGAGCCTCATGAAAGGAATTCAACAGCTAGAAAAAAATGTTACAAAAAATTCTGGGTGATGCTGCAACATAGAGGTGCATGGAGGCACCCTCGATATGTTTCAAAAAAACAATTGGCACTGCAGACGGATGCGAGGAGAAACTTATATGTATATCATGGACACAGAAGAGACATCATGCCAGATTGTATAGTAAGACTTGTGCGTGGATGGCTCCCCAATCCTGGAGGAATTGATTATATGGGACATCTATGGGATTAATGACTATACACCAAACTTTGCAGAAATGAAAACAATATACTAGATATAATTGATGAACAATTATAACCTAAATATCTACAATGAATTGTTTAATAATCAATGATGTTTGGGAAATTAGGATATATAAATATAAATGAATGAATCATAGCAACAAAATGCCATGTGCTTGTGTTTATAAATAACCCATTACTGCTAAGCCACATCCCCTGCTAACCTGCTAACAGCTGATTGGCTGTTTGTTATCTGGTAGGCATTTCACATGTTACATAAGACACCCGGGTGTATCCATTAACTGAAGTTTTCCTCTTTAAATCCAATAAAGAATGAAACAGGGCTCTTCATAGTTGCAATTCAAATACACCATTGCTTCTTTATAAAAATGACATTGTCCAGTTCTTTATAAAACCATAATGCACTGTGATGGTGTCACTCTTATACCAATAAGAACACTGCTCAGTTCATTATGAAACCATAATGCATTGTAAAATAATGTTTCTGCTCAGTTGACAATGCATGTACCTGGAATAAATGCATTAAAATACTCAAACCTCATTGTGAGACAGTCAATTTCTAAGAGAATTTGAGGTGGAATTTATTTTTGATATAATACTGCTGCTTTCTCTAAGGATACATGTCAGTAATATTTAATGTTAGGTCTGTTTCTATGCTGTTTGATTATAAGTGCCCCAATAAGTGCTAGAACAACTTTTTCAACAGATACCTCAATACTACAGGTTTAATGCTTATAGCATACGAAAGGGATGGCTTATTCTCTATCTAACAATGGTATAAAAACTCCAACAAGAATGTGACATTTTGTTACAAATGCCTTGCACAACTCACTGGTGATAGAAAACAACCTCAAAATTGCACCATCAATACTGATACATGTGGATCAATACAAATGAGCCTTTTTAAGTAAAAATCACCTTTTAAGAATTATGAAATGTGCATGCAACATTTTTGTAAATTGAATTTCTCATGCCACTCACTAGGAAACAATCATATGATTGCAACACATATCATTTGTATCATCAATGCTGTTACTAATGTTGAATTAATCATAGATTATATCGAGGATATCCTATGATTTAAGAGTGATATGATTTTTATCCACAAATGGATATATCTGCACCAGCATGCATACACAGCACTCTCATGGTTTAAAAGCTGTATTTGATAGTTTGTGAAAAGCCAAAAATATGATATTTTTACCACTGGTTACAAAATTACTGTTTTAATTGACATGATATCTTAAAATATTACAGTAATATAATTTCATGCAATACAGATTCTTACCCCTTGTAAGAAGCATTTTTCTTCTCAGAATTCCTTTAATTTAATGAATCCTTGTTTGAAAAATCAGTAATTTGCACCTTTCTTTGGCTTTGCTCTTTTATAAATTGGCTCCCAGTTCTGTAATGCAACACTTTGAGAATTTCCGCAGGAGCACAAATTACAGAGGTAATGTATATTAGACTAAATAACAGTTAGGGGTTGTTTCAAAACTGACCAAATCTACCATAATACACATGTTAGTTTCGTTGAATTCAACTGCCAGCCTTGATGTTGATTTGTCATTTGAATAACAAATTGTACATTCAATATGAAATAAATAAACTAATACAACTTATTGACATACAAGGGGACAACTTTTTTTCAATCAACGTACAATCCGGTCCATAATGTTCATTATAAAGGGGACAGGTACCTAGCCAAGCTGTTACACTGTAAATGCTACATGTCAGGCATACTTGAAAAATAATTTAAAATAAATCACATTAAAATAAAGTTCAATTAAAATTTATCAAATTAGCATTGAATGTGTCACTCTCCCTTTATGATATTTAATAGAAATGTAGTTAACTTTTAAATGTGCTCAAGTTGAAGTGACTTTCAACAAACTTCAAGCATGTTTATATTCAACTATATACATTTTAATCAGTCTTGGTTTTGTAAACAAGCCAAATAAGCTGGGAATTGCCAATATGTCATTTGTAGTGAAAGGGGTAAAAAACTATAAAAAGTAAACATCAGTAGAACTCAACTAATCAAATGTTCTCAAAGTATATTAATAGTGCCATAGAAATGAAATGACAGGTCCCCATGTCAGACATAACCAGAGGGGAATAATTATGAAGCCATAAAACAATAGTCTTGCAGATGTACATATATCCATTACAGTTTTATTTAATGACCAAGTTATCAGGCTCTATCACCACAACCAAGTCTGAAATAATTTATGTGTTTTTATGTTCTTTGTATTCTGCATTCAGTTCATTTATAGAGGCTTCAACACACAATTAAATGGAATTGTAAATAATGTTAACCAACTATTAAGTTGATCTTTTACTACTTTTCTTGAGTAAATGGCTCTCTCTTATGAAATTAACTTTCTTGTAAATACCATTAGTAAAAAACTCCCTCTCTCTCGGTAGTTTAGAAAATACATCACCAAGAAAATGCATTTTCTAAAATTTTCGGGCTCCCAGAGGGTAAATTTAAATTATGAATTTTACTTTTAGATTTTTATGAAACAAATTGCCTACATCATTATGTATGTTGTAATATTATACATTAATTAATAAGAGGTACTAAAGTATTACTACTACACATTTAATTTT